AGGCTATATGTTACTAGTAAAGTTTGAACAGTAAATTGGTTGTTCTTTACACAATTATTAAGGATGATCTACAAGATTGGAGGATATATACACAAGAAGGCAATTGTTACACAAGCAGAATTAATGAAGGAGGGATTAATGGGCAGGGGAAGTCAATGATATGACAGACAGGAGAATAATGGAATTAAGATTGCTTGGTGATGAGTTGGTGGTAGGTATTGGGGATGTAATATCCTTGGTCTCTGTTCATGGCCTATTGGAGTCTCTTGATGTGAATGGCTTCTAGTAGTCTCCTGATCTTGTAGTGGGTGTGATTACTGGTGAGTACATTGATGCTGTTACAAAGGATCATATATGGTGGATTTGGAGTCTTTCTTCTTTACAGAGGTTTGATGTTCTTTGATACTTACAGGGAAGGGTCTTGAGGTTTTGTGGATGTATCAGTCACCACAGTCACATTGTATGTGGTAAACTGTACCTCAAGGGTGACAGTTTGGCAGCTTGACTCCTGAGAGTTTCGAGGACTTCAGTCCTGTCTCACAACGAAGTACATGTGATACATGTGGTCTCACCGTAGGCAACTGAGTTTGTTCAAAATTGCCTCTGCAGAAAATGGGTACCCGGTTGGATAAAGTCATGTGACTATTATCTTCTAACGCCTAACAGGCAGCTTGGGTTATCCGGGGTAATAAGAATCAGATTCTGATTAAGCGTTTCGAGCAATCACTTGGTGTTTGGAGACTGTGCGCTATAGAAGATGACTTATTATTATTAGTGGTATATCCATGTAACTCTCCCTGTTGTTCACGACCGCCTCCGTGGTGTAGTGGTTAGAGCGTCTGCCTGGAGAGCGGAAGGTCGCGGGTTTGATCCCCGACCGCATCATACCAAAAGACGTTAAAATATGGTACTTGTTGGTCCCTGCCTGGCGCTCAGCATTAATGGGTACAACAAGGACTGGTCGGCTCAGAGTCAGTATAATGTGTCTGAGTGGGGTATTCATGCTTCACTGCGGCATGGTATCTCAGTGGGCTAGCACTATAAAACCAGCTTAAGTTTGCACATGCACAAGCAGCCGCACATACACATACACACGCATGCACGTCGTCATATGAGTGAAATATTCTAAAGCATGACGTTAAACCCAATGTCACCTCACCTCCCTGTTGTTCACCACACCAACTTCTGATTGTCACTCACAGAAGGTTGTCCGTCTGTGTTTACGTCATTTCAAGAATACAGTCTCATGAAAAGCATGTGAATATCAAAATGTGTCATCCATACACTTATGAATGTCAGCTTTCAAGGTCATGTGACCAGCTTCTCTCGTCCAAAGCTGCATATTGTATAGGCTTCAAAATAAATGACCAGTTCTACATGTGTACCTGCCATTGTTTCAAAGCAAAATGCTGATGATCAGTTTTCCAGCCACTGTTTCATGTCAGTACACTGATGATCAGTTTACCTGTCTTTATTTCATACCCATTCAGTGATAATCAGTTTACCTGTCACTCTTTCATAACAATATACCCGTGAATATATGGTCTGGGTTAGAATATTGAACTTTAATAACCCATGCCTGTCGTAAGAGGCGACTAACGGGATCGGGTGGTCAGGCCCGCTGACTTGGTTGTCACATGTCATCATATCCAAATTGCGTAGATCGATGCTCATGCTGTTGATCACTGGTGATCAGTTTACCTGACATTTCAGGGGTGGAAATAACCCATTGCCTGACGCCCCAGTCCAGTGCTTTTTTCTGTTGGGCTAGCAAATTTGTATGTCACGCTGTACCGGTGTCCAGTTGACTTTCCAATGTTAATTATGTTATTTATTTTTATAAAATCAACAAAAAAATCGGCCAGTATAGTGGGAAAATTGTTAGGGCCAGTGATTTTACATGTGCCACTGTACCGGAGTACATTAGCAATTTTAAAGTTATTTCCACCCCTGCATTTTTTATAGCAGGACACCAATGATTGATTTACCTGATTCTGTTCCAGATGAATTCCCCCAGTCTCTGATACTGCTGAACCTGTCTGGTAACCCCTGTACTCAGATGCCAGACTACCGGTGAGATTCTGGCTTCATAATGTTGGCAAACTACATCTTGTACATAACTCACAACTTAAAACATCTTTATTTATTTAAACTTGATATGGAAGAATACTGCTGTATCTGTAACAGAACTGGGTCAGTGGAGTTTGTTTGTTTGTTTATATCACATGTTGCGGCACGTGGTCCTGTGCATAGAGCTCAGGTCACAAATCAGTTAATGTTAAGCAACGTTGAGCGCGGAGAGTAATTGGATGGGTGACCGTGTTTGGCAGCTTGACTCCTAAAGAATTTCTAGGACTTCAGTTCGGCCCCACAACGAAGCACATGTGAGACATGTGGCCTCCCCCTTAGGTTATGCAAGTTTGTTCAAAATTGCCTGTTCACCCATCTGAAAAATGGTTATCCCTGTGGGATAAATCATGTGACTATAACCTTCTAGCGCTACCCTGTGGGATAAATCATGTGACTATAACCTTCTAGCGCTATCAGGCTGCTTGGGTTATCTGGGAGAATAATGTACTGTACTATTCATTGTTAGTGCAATGAGCATGTCTAGTGTGGAGTCTGGTGCTATAAAAATGGACACATTATTTTGTTTGTTTGTTAAATGTCATATTAATTGTTCTGGATTAGACAGTCCAGTGATTGTCAGCCAAATAGACATTGCTTCAGCCTTTGTGACAAAGGCTAGGGCACTTCAGTAAGGGGTCTTTCCTCCTCAACAAATCCAATCAGGTGTCTTTTTCCTTCTCTTTTGTTATCCTATTTTGTTGGGAAAGTTGAAGCATCTTAATTCTTTCAGGTCCGGTAGGGTGCTCAGGGGGTGCAAATAACTTTAAAATTGCTAGTGTATTCCGGAACAGTGGCACATGTAAAATCACTTGCCCTGATACTTTTTCCACTATACCGGTCGTTTTCTTGTTGATTTTTTTAAATAAACAACATAAATAACATTGGAAAGTCAACTGGACACCGGCACAGTGTGATATACAAATTTGCTTGCCTGACAGAAAAAACACTGGACTCGGACGTCGGGCAATGGGTCATTTCCACCCCTGCTGCTGAACATTCTGGTTTTGTTGTTTTCCAAATAGATTGATTCACCAATTGTTGTTTAACGCCACACTCAGCAATATTCCAGCTATATGGTGGTGGTTTGTAAATAATCAAGTCTCGACCAGACAATCCAGTGATCAACAACACGAGCATTGTTATACACAATTGGGAACCGATGACATGTGTCAACCAAGCCAGCGATCCTGACCACCCAATCCTGTCAGTCGCCTCTTATGACAAGTATGGGTTGCCGGATCTAACCCGGATCTTCACGGGTCATTTTCCAAAAAAGAGAGTGGTAACTCTGTAATTGTGGGTTTGATTTTTGTTGGTTGGTTGTAGGTCTGTTCCTAGGACTGTATCATATATTGCTGACCCCCATCACCATGACTGATCATATTTTTCAGTGAAACATTTCCTATGGATTGTTTATCAGCTTAACTGGCTGGTTTTGCTCTTTGGTATATTTTTCTGAATTGTACTTTGTTTCTTTTCATGGAAACAATTTGACTTAGTCTCACACGACTCGAGGCTTCATTCTCAAACTAATGATATTTTTGTTTGAAGCTACAAACTTTGCATTGCGTTTATGCTGAGCTGTTGCCTAATCATATTTTTGGGCTTTTTTATTTCTTGTGTTTCTATGGAAGCAAGTTGGACTTAGTCTCAAACAAGTAGCATTTGTTGTTAATTATGCAAACAAATATTTCCGCATGAAACCATTGTCTTCATAAGTTATAATACAAAACACATTTATAATAACAAATTGAATTTATGTATAAAATTTGGAACTGGGGAGTTGGAGTAAAAATGCATTCTATTTGGATGTTGACCAAACCTTAATGATGGGTTAGTGAATAATGTAACCTTAAAAATAATATTAAAAGAGTGGCCCAAAATACTCATTTTATTAAAAATGATCATTTTACTTAAAATACTTTTGTATTTAGTATAGTCTCATACTGTTCTCCAGAGGCTGCATCATTCAAGACCTGCACAATCTGCAGCAGCTGGACAATGTGGACGTCACTCGGGAGGAGCGAGAGGAGGCGGGATACCCGGTGTCCAGTGAGGAGGACTCGGATGAGACAGAAGAGGAGCCAAGACGCAGGATGATGAGAGAACATGAGGTGGATGGTAAGTTGATCACATGTGGTACTATGTCTGTCAGGAAACAGGTTGTTATCATATATGTGTAATATATGTTAAAAGTTTACAAGATCATATGGGTTTAGTGCAATTAATTGTAATAGTTTTGCCAAATGGTATACAACCACGGCAGCTAAGCAAAAGTTACATGCTCTAAATTTCCTGCGTTGTGTTTTTCCTCAGTGCCTCTACAGAGTCTAACGTCTGAGGTGTTGATGAGGTCACAGACCCGTCTAGAGGAGAGTCTTGCTGACCATCGCAGACACAACATGGAGCTGGACAACATTAGGCTCAAGTACAAGCTGCCCCCAAGTGCTAGATCCACTCCACACAACACCTGACTCCACTCCTCGCAACACCTGACTCCACTCCTCGCAACACCTGACTCCACTCCACACAACACCTGACTCCACTCCACATAACACCTGGCTCCACTCCACACAACACCTGACTCCGCTCCACATAACACCTGCCTCCACTCCACAGAACACCTGCCTCCACTCCACACAACACCTAACTCCACTCCACACAACACCTGCCTCCACTCCACACAACACCTAACTCCACTCCACACAACACCTGACTCCACTCCACACAACACCTAACTCCACTCCACACAACACCTGCCTCCACTCCACACAACACCTAACTCCACTCCACACAACACCTGACTCCACTCCACAAAACACCTGGCTCCACTCCACACAACACCTGACTCCACTCCATGCAACACCTGACTCCACTCCACACAACACCTGACTCCGCTCCACACAACACCTGACTCCACTCCACACAACACCTGGCTCCACTCCACATAACACCTGGCTCCACTCCACATAACACCTGGCTCTACTCCACAAACACCTGACTCCGCTCCACACAACACCTGACTCCACTCCATGCAACACCTGACTCCACTCCACACAACACCTGACTCCACTCCACAAAACACCTGGCTCCACTCCACACAACACCTGACTCAACTCCATGCAACACCTGACTCCACTCCACACAACACCTGACTCCGCTCCACACAACACCTGACACCACTCCACATAACACCTGGCTCCACTCCACATAACACCTGGCTCTACTCCACAAACACCTGACTCCACTCCACACAACACCTTACTCCACTCCACACAACACCTGACTCCACTCCACACAACACTTTACTCCACTCCACACAACACCTTACTCCACTCCACACAACACCTTACTCCGCTCCATACAACACCTTACTCCGCTCCATACAACACCTCACTACACAACACTGACTCCACTCCCCACAACACCTGACTCCGCTCCACACAACACCTGATCCCGCTCTACACAACACAGGATCCCACACCATACGACACCTGACTCCGCTCCACACCGGATCTGCTCTACACAACACCTGACTCCACTCCACATCTGACCTTGCTCTACATAACACATGATTCCTTGTCACACAACACCTGACTCCACTCCACATCTGACCTTGCTCTACATAACACATGATTCCTTGTCACACAACACCTGACTTCGATCCGCATCTGACCCTGCTCTATACAACACATGATTTTTCGCCACACAACACCGGTCTCCACACTACACAACACCCGATTTCTCGCCACACAACACCGGTCTCCACACTACACAACAGCTGACTGCACTCCACTCCACTCCAAAGTTTTACATGTATTTAGGGAGAATGGAATGATGTTATGTAAAATGGTGTTGGCAATTCACATCAATAAACCATTTCAGATATATAATCATAATCTGTATAACTTGGGTTAGATCACATATCCTGATCTGTATTACCTGCAGGTTCTGTATAACCTGGGTAAGATAACATATCCTTTTTTGTATTACTGGGTAAGGACACATATCCGGATCTGTATTACCTGGGTAAAATCACATATCCCCATCTGTATTACCTGGGTAAGATCACATATCCAGATCTGTATTACCTGGGTAAGGGCACATATCCCATCTGTATTATCTGGGTAAGATCACATATCCCATATGTATTACCTGGGTAAGATCACATATCCCAAACTGAATTACCTGGGTAAGATCACATATCCCGATCTGTATTACCTGGGTAAGATCACATATCCCAACTGTATTACCTGGGTAAGGGCACATATCCCCATCTGTATTACCAGGGTAAGGGCACATATCACAATGTGTATTACCAGGGTAAGGGTACATCTACTGATATCATCTGGTTGTTCTTTGGTTATGAGACCTTATATAATTTGTTTCTTGGTTTAAGCTTCTGCCAACATTAAAAGTCAATCATTCAAAAACAATGTCCAAGTTGACCAGGCCTCGAAGATATATGGGCCATACCACTTTTTGTTGTATTTATGCCTTTACATGAATCCATCCACAATGAACAAAAGCATATTTTTTATTTATCATTCTATGTCATGGTGACAAGTTGAGACGTGTTTACATGTATCATCTATTTATTTGTGTTGTTGAAATGTATATATTCAGTATCATTCCATTATAGTTCAATGTTGATAAAAAAATCCATGTTTTATATGTTTAAAATGATAAGATTCATTTAGTCGTCAGCAATGAACAAGTTATGTTCAGGCCCAAATCCTTGAAGTATGTAAAATTGTATAATTGCCAAGAAATATATTGGCACAAAACAATGACAATATACCATAATAAGCTAAACACAGGTGTTGGGCTATAAACATATATTGCACTGATCGAGATTCATCACTTGTATCAGCTCTACATATCTGAGAATCTCATTTGAATATGGTACATGGGAATTCTGTTTATCTGATTACATTCCTGACAAAATGAACAAGATTTATACATCCAAATTGAATAAACTTCACAAATGAAAACTCCCATTTAATTAAATTAAAATTACTTAATGGTATGACAGTTAGTTTCAGTTGTCTTAAGAGCTTATTATTGCTTGTTCCAGCAGGATCTAAGCAACAGCTCATTTAGTTCTGATTGCTCGTTTGGAAGGAGATATAATTCTCCGTTTCTGTGACTTTGGCATGCCAATCTTTCATATACTGGACCGAGACACAAATGTGTTATCAATATGTGATTGTATCTAGCGCTGGCTATTCAGAAATATCATCGATTGGAAATATTATTAATGATTATCGATATGAAAGTTGTGTGATCAATAATATCGTATATCAACCTATGTGATAGAAGAAAAATCATAATTTTCTCACACAATACCAATTTAGGACATTATTCGTAATCTGCTTCTAAATTGTGTTCAGAATGTAGTTTTGTTAATAATCACAGCAAAAACATGACAGCGGTCCCAGTGATGTGAAATATATTCCTTTATTTCAGATAGTTTTGGCATTTTTGCTCAAAGTTACGTCTCCGATAATTATCGATAATTGATTGATTTTTTAGTTGATGATTATCAATTTCTACAATCTATATCATCAATAGCCAGACCTAACTGTATGTTCTTAAAGTATTGTTAAACAACCAACGTTTATATTTTTTTACTTTGAAATAAAGGGTTTTGCATCTCTCTTCTGTTTTCTATTGTGTTCTTATGAATCACAGATACAGTTCTATTAGTGATTTGAATTCTGGGAATAGAGTGAGTGAGTGAATATGGTTTTAATCTGCTTTTAGTAATATTCCAACAATATCAAGTTGGGGGACACCAGAAATGGGCTTCACACATAGTACCCATGTGGGAAATCGAAAACGGATCTTCCGCATGACAAGCCAATGCTTTAACCACTAGGCTACCCCACCGCCCCTCTAGGAATAGGGGTTAGAGACGCTAGGACTGCTGTCGTCACAAACATCAATTTTTGCTGTATAAACCTAGTACACCCGTGAAGGTCCGGGTTAGAATTGATCTTCAGGAACCCATGCTTGTCGTAAGAGGCGACTCACGGGATCGGTGGTCAGGCTCGCTGACTGGATTGACACGTCATCGTATCCCAATTGCATAGATCGATGTTCATGCTGTTGATCCCTGGATTGTCTGGTCCAGACTCGAATATTTACAGACCGCCGCCATATAGCTGGAGCGGTGTAAAACTAAACTCACTCACTAATAAAAGGCGACTGAGGGGATCAGGTAGACAGACTCGCTGATTTGGTTGACACATGCCATCACAAAAATATATTTGAAATTTCGTAGATATATGCTCTTGCCGTTGATCACTGGATTGTCTGGTCCAGACTTCGTCGCCTGAAAACCAGAGTGTTCTATGTCACTTAAACCTGATTTGGAGATAATGGACTCCAAACATTGAAACACGATTTTCTTACCATTTATTGAAAATTGTCCAGTCAGATTTACACATAGGGACGAAAACAGTGTTCTTAAGCACTTAAAACCTTCATTTGGCCAAATTGCATAGTCATTATCTACTATTTGGTATTTTTTGTGTGGAGATGGAACAGTCACTTTCCATGAAAGTGGACTTTTGTTAAAACCAAAGTGTTCCAAGTGCATATTCTAGGAGAAAATGATGTAACTGTTGATGTAACTGAACCAATTACTTAATTTGGAGGTGTTTACAATGAATTTCAGCTTACATATATCACATTGACTGTCAAAAATTATGAACATTCCTCGCATAATCTAAAATAGGGTCTCTGTATTCCATGGAACCTGTTCCGCCTCCAAGTATTTTTGTAGTGGACTAGTAGAAGGCCTTCTGTTTAAAACAAACCACCATTTTCAAAGACAAAACAAGAGCATCTTTAAAGAACATTATTTATTTGTCAAATATCAACATCAAAACAGAAACTGTAGAGGTTTCATCCTGAATACCTCATTAACATTAAAAATAAATGTTTTACTTTCCCTGAGCACCTTGTACAAAGATTAACATGGCAGGATGGATGTATGGTTAATATATACTGTACGAGAACTCATTGCAGAATAAACAACTAAGCATGAAAAGTTTCAACAAGTCATTTGAAGGATTTTGTTATTTTAACAAAGATTTAACATTTCAAAGGGTGCATGGTATATCTAGGTTTATGAATGTGTCTATAACATTGATATCCCTAAAATATTTCAATAATGCCTCGGACAAGAAACACTAAATCTTCAACAGTTAAGAAAAACAAATTTCGAGATATCCACTGCATTGACTCCAGGCTTAATTCTCCAGCCTGTTTATCGAGGTAAATAGAGGAGCCTTTTATGGTACAGTGTTTTACCATGTTCATCTGAAATCAATGATAACAAGACTCGATGCAGCAACAATCATTGAGAATTACCAACTAACATCTTGATAACAACTACGAAGTAAAAAGAGAATACTGGATTGAAAATCTTTGTAACTAGCTAACAGAACAACGAACAGAGTTCTAAACGCCAAACAATCGCTAGTGAATCTGCTGTTTGAGGAAACAGGATCCATGAATTCAGCATTGCATGGATATCTTTCAGTTTCTCATTTATACTAACGAGGCCTCATTTTGGGGAGAAGTCCAATCATGAATTTCTTGTCAACAGGATTCATGAATTTCAGCATTGCACGGATATCCTTGGCTTTCTCATCTGTCATGCTCAAAGTATTCATGATGGTTTTGACTTGGGGCCATTCCAGGTCACTAGGACTCCGCGTTGGTGATGACAGTCTCCTCTTATTTTCTCTGGGACGAATGCACACCCTTTTCATTTCCTCATCATCGAATGATGTCTTGAACTGAACTGTAAATGGCTCCTCGTTGGTGTTCAGAATAGCTTTCACTTTTGTAAAGGGCACTTTAGTGAAATTCAGACATCGGGAAGCTTCAATGTACTTTTTGAAGTGATTCTGTCTCAGCTGAATGACATCAAGGGGATTCTTCTCAGTTGCCAACTTCATGCATCTTACAATTCCAAGAGGACTAAAGACATCTGATCGTTTCAGCTGTCGTTCAATGACACTGTGTACTGCATCCACTTCCTGAATGCTAGAATGTCCAGGCTCACAGAATTTCTGTTCAATGCTTTTGATATTGTGATTTGCCATAAAATCTTTTAGTGCAAATGTAATTCCAGCATTTCTGTTTTGCGCAACACAGGAATCTGACCAAAGGGTGATGTGTTCTGGCTGGTGCTTTTCCACTACTTTGGTCAATATGGATATTAAGGCACTGGTAATTTCATTTGCACCTCTTCCTGCTTGTGTCTCATTCCAGATTGCACAATAGCCCTGTGAATCCAACGAGCAATGACCAGTTAAGTTATAAACACTAAGTTTCCGGCGGTAAAAGAAACTTGAAATGTTTGCCTGTGGACAGCTTAAGACATTTTCAAGATCAAAGCATACAACAAGTTTTTCACGGTCTTCACGGTCTCTGTCACGTTCCTGCTTTGTTGCCACCTTAGACTGGAAGTGGGCCAGGTATTCCTCTCTGAGTTCTTCATCAACATCGTCATGCTTGGACTTCATGTTATATTCTTCACAACGGTCACAGCGATCTTTCTTTGGTACATGGAAAGCAAGGTTGAACTCTCTGTTGAAGATGTTTCTATAGGTGTGGATCAACACTGCAGTATTCGTTTCCAGTTGGCACTTTTCACGATAAAGACGATACATGGTGGCAAGTGACAAGTTTTGAGCGAGATATTCCTTATGTGAAGATGCTCTACAGTAATGCGATTCCACTCTGGGGAATGAATTTATGTGGTCACGGACCCCTTGTTTCTGTTCTGGGGGTATTCTGTCTTTTGTTGATGTACCCCTGCAATCACCACTGGTTGGAACCTTCGTGTTTGGGTCAACTTTGTTTTCAAAGAAATAGGAAACTCTCCTCTGTGAGATACTTAATGTTGTCAGATAAAACTCCTTGCAAACACGATATTTGTCATTCCCATTAAACAAATGATACGCGTATGAAAATGTCCTGCTGTTCTTAGCATCTACTCGACTTCTCTTCTTCTGTTCTCTGTTTACTGTTTTGGAATAAAAATGGCTCTTTTCGCTGTCAGAGAGGTTCCAGAAAGATTGAAAAGTTCTTTGTCTTTGATCTGGCGGTAGCTTCTGGGCACATTTATATTTGCATTTACCCTGACAATCTTTTGTTGTCTTCAGGTTTTTAGTTGGTACTTTCCTCCCACTCTCAGACACATACTGCTTTCCTGACTGTCTCATCCGCTTTCTGATTGATTTTTTCCAATTATTCGGATTTCGCTTTCGTTTTCTGCTCCGTCCTTCATCAGATGCTGGTACGGACAATTCCACTGGATTCTCTTCAGAAATCTCGTTGTTGTGATGATCTGAAATGGCAGTTTGCTGTTCTGTAACATTCTTTTCGACCATCTCATCATTTACTTCACCTTCCAATTCCAGTTCCGATGTAGTATTTTCATAATCTGGATGGAGATCCTTGCAGTCTTCCACACCTTCGGACAGAATATCAACTGCATGCAAAAGGGTTATTTCAGATTCGTCCGTGACAACTAGATCATCAAGAGTTGATGGGTTTCTCTGCAAGTCGATGACGGGTGAAACCTCCAGTAAATCACATTCTCTTTCATCTTCATTTTCAGTGTCAGAATTATTAATTAGAGTTAATACCTTGTCTAATTCAAATATGGTAGACATGATGTTTAAATCATTCAGGCCTTATTCTAATTCTGCAGTCAACAAATTCGTCAGTGACAAAGTCTTGGAACTCCTGGAGTGAAACTCTTTCATCTAAAGTGAGATCAAAGAACATCAAGGACTCATGGGCTTCGCACATCAAGTCCAGACAATCATTCAATGTGAACGTCACACCAGTGGCTTCCAAGTTAAAACATCTCTTTGTTCCCTTGAAAATGTCTACAAGTGTAGAGGGCTGTATGCAGGTGTGGCTGACATTTAAATGCTCAAGCCTCCAACATGACCTGATAACCTGAAAATCTTCGTCAATTAGGTTTTTGCACTTTTCAAGGCAAAGCAGTTCCAAATTAGACAGACTCACAAGAAATGACAGACTTGATATCTGCAAACCTCTCAAGTTAAGCCATAAGAGTCTTTCAGCTCTTAATAGTCCTACGGTAAATGTGTAATCTATCGCAGCAGGGCATCCATGAACAGTCACATCACCAACATCAAGGCTCTCAAAATAATATGATGTGCTCAAGATTTTGTGAACTTGCCCAAAAGTTAGATGTGTGTCACAAGGAAATGAAATGTCCTTCCATAGGGTCTTATTTTCCTTTAAAAGTTTCCTTAGATGCTTGCAGGTTTTGCTAACATTACATGCCAGATCAGTAACTGGTACAAATGACAGGATGAGGAGAAGGATTTCATCTGGGAGAAACAGTAGAGGAGCCGCTTGATTCTGAAAAGAAATGGATCAAAATTTAAAATTTATATCAAAATTAATGAAATTGAATTAGAACGGTAATTGTTCCATATCCTTTATAACACAAATGGAATGTGCATGATACATTCACGACTGTCTCAGATCCAAAGTGTTCTATCTCCAACATTCATTTTAAGAAGAATTTTTCATCAACAGAACTTTAAAAACACGACAAATTGATTTATGTGTTGTCTTGAAGTATTAAATAATCACTTGGTTTTAATTCTAAGTTTGCATTGTGTCATTTTTGTGCAAAAATCAATAAAAGTGTACTCACCATGTCCACATGACTTAATCCGTATTGTCAATACCAGATTGTTCTATCTCCAGGTCATGTGATTCAAAACTCATCAGTGATTGGTCCATCACTTAGAACAGTATGGTCCGTACAAAACCCCTGATTTTGTGGAGATAAAACAATTTTAAAATCTAAAAATGACACTTCTAGTGCATATTTTCTTCTGAAACTTTATCAGAAGATAGAATAATACCTCAGCTTTAGTAAAATAGTCATAACTAATTTTTTTTAAAAAGTGGACTTGGAACACTCTGGTTTTCAGGCGACGACTTGATTAATTACAGACCGCCTCCTTTCAGCTGGAAGACTGCTGAGAGCGACGATAAACAACAAAGAAAGAAGAAACATAATAATGGTGGTTTTAGAGGTGTTGGAATGCAGTGAAGCTTTAGGTGTCCCAGGTGTCCAGGGGTCCCAGGGGTCCCGGTGTCCCAGGGGTCCCAGTCTGAGGTGCCTTAAATGAAAACAGGAAGCTGCATCGCTTGTATGTGCCAGGAACTATGGGGAAACTATCACTTCACTTGTGCATCGTTAGTTTTCAAGCGCAGATACAAACCAATATTTTTTTCAGTATTGATACACCATAGGACTCTTGCTACAAAAAGGGTCCAGGGTTTTTGTAAGCCATTGCAACGTGTTGTAAAAAGCATCACCACCAACAATATCTGCCGCTTGTCATTTGAACCTGCTTCGAAATAGTTTCAGCAGAGAAGTAATCATGAATTATGAAACATAATACGCATCATACCATGACAGAGGTTCATATTTTTTTTAAAAAGCAACTTGCCACAGGTCAAGGGACTTTAAGAAAGTAACTTGTCCTGACAATTTTCCACTTGCCCTGATTTTATGACATAATCATGATGATGTAATTATGAAAGAAGAAATCAACATGGTATTTGATGTTAATGTCAAGCGGGGGTTACTGGACTATTTATTGAAAAGTGATAAATAGCAAAGAAAGATAACTCTACTTTATTATCATTGCAAAACTTTAAAGCTACATTTTGAGCAGATATGAAATTTAATCCAAGTTTATTTGCAGCTTGAAACCATAAGTGGAAATTATCTAGTAGCCCACGGACAAGTAAGGTACCATTATTTGATTGCCCGAAATTAAAACTGACTTGTCCCGGGCGTCGGACGATGGGATTTTTGAACCCCTGCGTGGCCCATCTATTGTGATAGATATTGTACCATGACCTTCGTATCAGACTATGACCTTGCTGTATTGATTCACCAATACAAATACCTTAACTGTTTCTGGTTTAGTCAGCACCCTATGCTACGGGTGAATTATTGCTTTATTGAAGCGGTCTGTACGTAATCGAGTCTGGACCAGACAATCAGGTGATCATCTACACAATTACATCTCGAGCATCAATCTACACAACTGGGATACAATGTCGGGTATCAACCTAGGCTGTCTCAAAGTCCCTGAACCACATCATTTCCCCTTCCTCCAATGCTAATGCCCTAAATGAGGAAAATCTAGATTTCCACTGGTCTGGGTTTATCTCCAATCACACTGGGGCTCCTTTTCAATTCAAATGGGATTATTTGTTACTGTCAAAATTATAAATGTTCAATGACTAAGCGTAAGTCAAATGTAAAACAAGTCCACAAGCCTGACCACAGATCCCCTCGGTTGCCTCTTTTGACATGCATGGGTTGCTGAAAACCAATTCTTGCCCAGCTCCTCGTGGGTTGTAAAGCGAAAGATTTGTATCACTTGCGTGACAGCGTTTGGCAAGCTTGACACATTAGGGATGCTAGGACTTTGGTCCTGCCTAACTCCGAAACACATATATGGGAACTCTCCTTTCTCTAACGAAGATTTTTTGTTCCATATATGCCTCTGGCGGCCCAGCAGGGAATGAGTACCTGGTGGGAATGAAATGGTAAGTCTGTGTCAATGTCTGCAATGTATATGATAAGGGCTCTGTTTTGTGTACTGGAACTATCAAATCTTTAGGTGACACAACTTGGAACCAACCTATCATGAAGTGTCACCATATAACTGACAATGTTAACTAACCTTTCTACAGTCATAATACCTTTCAAAATTATTCCTGATTGATATAACGATATACCTCTAGTCTTGCAAAAACAGGGCAAGTTGTCTTACTTCATGGTTAAAAAGAACAGCAAATAAAGCTCTTAAGCAAATATGTTTGACATACATCCGAACTGCTTTACCACAAGACTTGCAAAAACACTTCCGAAAAACAAAAATCAGCAAAAAGACAAATTTAGGCACCTTATATACATTCAGAACTATAACAAATATCCAAAACAAGCGTATATCATTATTGAACTTACAACAGCCTAATTCTCATGCATATGAACACAAAAAAGTTTTAACTTTTTCTTTCTTTAAATTATGCAGATCGATTAGCCCGAGTCCACATCTTACCTTCTCCCTTCAAGCTGTTTCGTTTGTTTGTTTCATTCTTTTTAACCTCAAATCAGCAATATTCCAGCCACATGTATATGGTTTGTAAATAATCCAGTGCTGGCCAGTGATCATTATTATGAGCATTAATCTACGTAACTGAGATATGATGACATGTGTCAACCAAGTCAGGGAGCCAGATCCCGTTAGTTGCTTCTTACGACAAACATTGGCTACTGAAGACCAATTGTAACCCAGATCTTTACTGGTATCCAGCTATTTGAAGAGCTGATGTTCAGCAATCTGGTCAAGCAGTAATTTGCACCAGTGAGGTACATGACCTAAAGTTTTATAGAATGACACATACAAAACTGTCGCAAAGTGCTTTATTGAATAATAAAAAACATGGGGAAGAATTACAACCAAAATTATAGTCTGATAATATATGCGGTTAATGTTACACCAAAACAACATGTGTGAAAATAACTACAGTTATCAGTTTACAAACAATGATAAAAAAATTGCTATATTAACAAGAGAGGTGTAACAAATAAATATTAGATTAAATTAGTGACAAAACTTGTTACATTTACAAGATAATGCATAAAAATAGCTATACTAGCTTTAAAGTAATGATTACAATAATCTGGGATTCTAAGAACAATGACAAAGTTGGTCTCATGTAAAACTGTTTGAAAACAACAATGACCTCTGTATGGACAGTTTCATGTAGCAGCATTGGTTTAGAAGTGAACGGCACTGGATGCGTCCTCGGTAATACAGGGTACTATACTTCCACTCAATGAAGAGCCTCGACACATTCTCGACAATAGCTGGGATTCCCCTTCTATTGGTGGAATATGGTTAAAAGAGACACTGAACCATGCTCACACACCAACACAAATGACAATGTTGATTCATGGTTGAAGCAAGCGATACTATCAAGCTACTGGCTTTTGCTGATGTTCTCTCTCAAACAAACTGTCAATGACGGACTTCTGTTCAGAAGAGAGCTACAAACTACCACATGCATAGCTCTTGTCACTGTAGGGCCCAGCTGCTACAGCTCTCCCAGCTCTTGTCACTGCTATGACTACCTACTACAGCTGTTACAGCTCTTGTCACTGTTATGACCATCTACTACAATTCTCACAGCTCGTCGCTGTTATGACCACCTACTACAGCTGCTATAGCCCTTGTCACTGTAGGGACCACCTACTACAGCAGCTACACCTCTTGTCACTGTTATGACCACCTTCTACAGTTGCCTCAGCTTTGTCACTGTGGGGACCAGCTGCTACAGCTCTGATGCCTGTAATTACGAGATGCAACAGCTGCCACGACCAGCTACTACAGCTCCTGACAACGTAATGACCAGCTGCTACAGCTCCTGACAACGTAATGACCAGCTACTACAGCTCCTGACAACGTAATGAACAGATGCTACAGCTCCTGACAACGTAATGACCAGCTGCTACAGCTCCCGACAACGTAATGACCAGCTGCTACAGCTACTGACAACGTAATGACCAACTGCTACAGCTCTTGACAACGTAATGACCAGCTGCTACAGCTACTGACAACGTAATGACCAGCTGCTACAGCTCCTGACAACGTAACGACCAGCTGCTACAGCTCTTGACAACGTAATGACCAGCTGCTACAGCCTTTGACAACGTAATGACCAGCTGCTACAGCTACTGACAACGTAATGACCAGCTGCTACAGCTCCTGACAACGTAACGACCAGCTGCTACAGCGCTTGACAACGTAATGACCAGCTGCTACAGCCTTTGACAACGTAATGACCAGCTGCTACAGCTCCTGACAACGTAATGACCAGCTGCTACAGCCTTTGACAACGTAACGACCAGCTGCTACAGCGCTTGACAACGTAATAACACGCTGCTTCAGCTCCTGACAACGCAATGACCAGTTGCGAAAGTTCTTGACCAGATAATTGAGATACAGTCCCTGCAAGACCGGAAACTTGGGATACTACCACTACAGGGTCTAGCTCATTTCACTTCATGGACCAGCTGCTACAGCTTCTGCAGAGATGCCAACCGCAAAGTGGTGCAATTAGAAATCTGAGCTCCATTAGAGGGAAAATTAGGAATTAGGGTTCCCTATAAATTGTTGCACTAAAGGAACGAAACTTTTCAATGCAATTATATATGCACAAAGCGATCCTTATACAATCGAAACCGGTTTGCAGTACTCTGCAGCAGTGTTTGTGAATGTTAAGTGAATAAAATAAACAATACACGGAATTTATCAGGCAGCCTACTCAACTTCCGGATTACTGCCTTGTGTAAACAATTTGAGAACGTCTGTAAATAAAGTGTTATATTTATTTAATCATCATTATTTATAGTCAAAGATTATCCTAGCCCTCCAGTAAGTACGACAATCTATATATTTGTTATATTTTGAAATATATCGGAATGAATTTAAAAAATGACGGAATCGACATGCATTATTCGGGATGATTCTGATAAATTCGGGAGGGTTGGCATCTCTACTTCTGTTGCCAGTTTATGCCAGAGACCAGTTTACTGGAGAGTGCCTATTTTCCTCCAAAGCAGCGTTAGTTTCAGAGAAACATTTGCAGTTTGCGGTCTCAATACTAACTAAAGTGGGGTGTTTATTCCCAATGATTGTGTGCTTCTCATCATCAATAAGTGTGAGCTTTGTCTGAGCAAAGTTTCCCCAGAGGATGAAAACGACAAATGGGCACTGATCACTGATGATCTTGATGACCTGGTCAGTCAGCTTCTGCCAGTCATAGTCTTTATGGGAGTCAGTGCCTGCCCTGAAACAGAAAAGGGTAATGAAATGCAGGGATCAAAATAAAGAAATGAAATCTACTTGCACCCAGTGCAACAGTAGGTAATAACGTTGTTGCACGTGACATACACAGGTTGCACCTGCACCTTAATTATACAATCATATTTATTGATTGAGTTTTGGTTTTGTGATTTTGGAGCATAATAACAAGGTTTTTCATGGCCTGAAAAGATCACTTTATCTTACTTCATAAAATTTCAAGACATGAGCAGTAACAGTCACTCAGTCACTGTCCGTGTAGTCACTGATTCTGGTTAGTTCCACATCGTTCTGTTATTCAAGTGAAGTCTGTATTCCTTGAGCAGCAAAATATTAACATGCACTAGGAGCAACTTGATAGAATTATGAGGTTGCATTTTGCAGTTTCACGTTGCACCAGTTCACTCTCTAAATTCTTAAATCCAGCCCGGATATGTCAGCAATATAAATAACTAGCGATGGCGCGATTGATCGAATAATCGAACAAAATCGCTTGCATCAGCTATGAAAAGATCAGATAATAACTTGCTGTGATAGGGTCAGTGGATGTAAACAGCAAGCCAAAGAGGTGAGCGAAGACATAATTCCAAAGGTGTCTTGGAACTTCAAAAGCAATTAGTACAGACTTCATAGACTTTCATATTGAAACTTTTAACTATAAGTTGTATATATATATATATATGTATGTATATATATATACACTTATCCTATCTTAAGTTCTGTACTCTCTCTCATGTTCGACAGTTGAGTGGAAACGAACTGCAAATGAAGTTTTGGCCTCTCTGAAGCATCCGCCCGAACACCCCTGCTGCTCCCCGTATCTGGACAGTCTGGTAGCTCCTGCAGCTTTGGCTCTGATTGATCATGTAATCCCATTATGTAGTCATTCTCGTCTTGGAGCAAGTAGTAGTAATATATGCAGCAGGGTTGGTCGGAATCCATCGGGTGAGATAGGATAAGTATATATGAGTTATCTGCTCTTGCGCCACTGGCAACACTTGAAACTGCTATAACAGTATTCTGAGCATATGTTGTTACTTTCCTTCTTAATAACAAAGTGTGCCAAAATATGGATTAAGGTGTGTGGACCTTGTTACCTTCACTGATGATCATCACTAAGAGCCTGTTGTGAGTTCTAAAGACAAATCTAAAGCTGAAATTTAAGCTGAGTGATGTGACAGTTTGTAGCAGTTGAGTTGGTAAACAAATGGGAGTTACCTCCCTTTGTTATCATTGCAACGTCATTTCTCTTAAATCTAATTATTCAACAGTTTCTGTGTACTGCCAAAACGTGTTCATAATGGACCTGAAGGATATTCAATGACATTCAAGACATGAATCAATCTAATTGTGAAAATCTCTATTCTTCTGATTTTGACTTGCCAGTTGACTGGATCATAACAAAGGAGAGTTGCCTCCCTTGGATGACCCTAGAAACCCTTTAGACAATCGGATTCTGCAAAATATGTATTTCAAAAGTAAGACATTTATTCTAGAGTCAACTAGAAGGACACTCAATGTATCTTTTATCTTATACAACTATCTCTTGTTGGAGTTCTGTAGTGCTTAGTAGCAACATGTGGCAGCAAGTTACTTCTCTCACATATTTTCATATTTATACACATACCTAACTCTGAACTTTCTACAGAAACATGTGATGATATGTTTCATTTTGACAAAGAAAGTTTTGCCGAGAAAACTTCAATGATGTGGACATTATTAAGCATTTTGTCATATGACACAAACCCACTTACCCTACACTACAACGCTGTCCACTAAGGACTTGGATACATCCATTGTATACAGCCGACGAGACTTGATTGGTATCAAGATTAAGCTGAGGTATAATATAATCTGTCTTGTGGCAAACATAGAATGAACTCTGACTTATATAACCTGAGAGACAAGTCTTACGGTCGCTTGGACAGACAACTGTGGGCTAAGCTGAAGCATCTAGGAGTTGGAAATGCTGCAACTTAACGGGGCTGTAGCGGAGGCTCAAGGAGACAGATTCCAGTGATTACCTCTTCACAAATCAAGGTTGACGCCCTTCAAAACTCAGGTGGTATAAATTCTGATAACTTGATAACACTCACACTCATTATTGCCCAAAACATTTAAGTTTGGTCTTCAAAATGCTCAGTCTGTATGAAACAAATCATTGTGTCTCCATGGCCTTATTACTGAGAATGACTATGACGTATTTGCTGTGACAAGAACAGGGTTGAATGACAATGACAAGGCTATGCTTTCTGAATTAGTACCTCAAGGATATGAGATAGTTAAACAAAACAGACAGCGTAGCTGTGGTGGCGGTTGAGCAATAGTATAAAAATCTCCATAACAGCTTTCAATTTAAGTGTACATGCCTTCCAGTCATTTGAGGTTCGTGATCTCACCTTAAACATCAAGAGTGAACAAGTCAAACTTCTCATTGACCACAACAATCAAAGAAATACAAACTTACAAATGATATGTTCACTACTGAAATGTCGGAGCTAATTGAAACAGTAGCAGTCTCTCGTGGGCATCTTCTGATCACTGGTGATTTTAATATTTATGCTGACAAAAGTGCTGACAAGTTTGCACAGGATTTCCTTCAGCTACTGTCAGCTGCTAATGTTCAACAACGTGAAAATAGCCACACACAAACATGGTCATACTTTTGATTTGTTAGTACTAGCGATACGCATGACAAACTGAAGGCGCATCTTGAGACAAGTCACCTCGCAAAATTCGTCCTGTCAGCCTACAAGATATCTGACAGTACAGATACAGCTTTGGTGAGAATCCACAAGGACATCCTTGTCAATATGGGCCTGAAGAAGGTGACAGCACTCATGCTCCTTGATCTATCCAGCGCATTCGATACCATAGATCATACCTTACTCGTGCATCGAATTAAAAATCGCATTGGGATAACAGGAACTGCGCTCAAGTAGATTTCCTCATATATACTAGCCACATAAAGAAACTGTGCACACAGAAAATGCCTTCAGAATTGGAATACAACACAGCAAAGACGAAATGATGTAGACACTTTATAAGCTGAAGTATCGGACTACAAGAAATTGTCAAAAGAACATGAACAATATCCGTAACGATGACGTCAGAAGTTCAAAATCGAGTAGGGGGTCACACGACGAAGTCACAAAGTCAATAACGGGTATGAAAACCATGTGCGTAAAGCACAGCAGTGCATCGACGACGCATAGAGGCTAGCAAATGAGCATTGAAGGCCTGGGAAATGGTCTGGGGCGTGGTCACTGCTGTCTGGAACCAGTATCTGAGATGAGTCACCCGAATCCACCTGTCCTGTCTTTGCGTCGTTACGTCGGGAACGCCCAGAACGTGGGTGGTCGGCGACGGCATTACTGTTTCGATAACGCCTGACCCATGCAGATATCGTGTTACGATGACATTGGAAATGTGCTGCCACCTGTTTTTGGCTCATTCCTGCTCGAACCATTCCAATGGCTTCATGAAGTTGAGCAGATGTTAATCTTAGCATGATGTGCATGTGACTTCTCATGTGAATTGGTGAACGTTTGAATGACCAAAGATCAAGCTTTCGACAGTGACAGCAATTTCAGAGTTTCACGTGTTGTGTGCATCTGTACGGGCTGCACGTGCAGTAACACATTGCAAGGCCTTAGGCCACCGTCAATGAGGTCACGTCGCCTGGCACGTGCATGAGCGTTTGATTGTCTCCAATACTTGCTATTTTCACAAATGTATTTATGTATTTACAAATATGTGCCTATATTTATATTTTTTGTGTGCACAGTTTCTTTATGTGGCCAGTATATTTGCGAGGTCACACACAATCTCTCAAAATTGGAGATGTACAATCATCAAAGTCACCACTTTTATATGATGTTCCCCAGGGATCAGTTCTCGGTGCCCTTCTGTTCACAGTCTACACTAAACGCCAAAAGAAACGTTACCCACCTACCTTTATGAATTACTTAAAGGTCACATGCAACCAAACAAAAACATAATTAAAACACAATTATCACTCATTCATGACATATAATATACATTGCTGATTATGAAAAAAAAACAAATAAACAAAATTATAAGCGTACGATTGCAAAAAGTGCAATATTTTGTACTTGGGTTTACTTCCCTCGAAACGAGGCACCCGGGATACCGAACCCAGTCAGAACGGGTGGGGGTGCACTTAAGAGTAATGAACTCCTTTCATTGGCTGGTTCATTTGCCGATACGCTCAGGGCTCTTTGTGTGTGTATAGAGATGATGGGTTTAGTAAATACATGCTTATCTTTTGTGTATAACATTTTGCAATCAACAGACATCATGACATGTCATGTGTACAAGTATCACACCTGCCTGTCTGTGTAATTACATAATGTGACAGAATCATAAATCAATGCGTTTTGTTTATGGTGTACAGCCTGATAGGTGTTATGTTCAAATTGCATGTGGCCAGTGATCGAAGTTGTGTATTGCATACTGGCATTAGCAGACAGGCAATCAAAAACATAGGTGTCAATGAAACAGAAATTGAGTTTTGTTTGTGAAAGAGACATATCTCTATCACAGTTAGAAATCCTGACAATGCTAAATAATGACGTTGCTTTTAAGTATCGAACTGAGAAAGTAACTGGGTAAGAAGAACGCATGGTGAAATAGTCAAATGAAATTATATAAACAGTTAAATCGGTAATCTACTGTCATAACATATAAAAGCTTGAGCCTGTGAAATATCAACAAAACATTAGAAAAATAGCTCACATCAAAGCCTACTCCAAGAACTCAAAGCCAGCGAAGGTTTTCCGTCTTGAAATGTCTAACGCCTGACTGGTTGACACATAGTTGAGTAGATCTAGATCCTTAACAAGGTTCCTTTATGCGCCACCCTAGCGATCACGGACCTTGGAGCCAAAGCAGAGGTAAGCTGTATGCCTTGCAAATGAAAAACAACATGTACAAACGCACCAAAGTGTCCCACTGTGACGGCGTCAGCAACCGAGGAGATTTGGACAATGCCGAGACTGTTGGACTCATAAACTACACTCTATACAATCTTGCTTGTAACAACAATGACAAATGGGTGATGGTCGTATCATTCGATGTTGGTCTACGTGATTTAAATGATGTCGAGACACGGGGTACCTCCGAAAACAGCCCGTATATAACCATGTCTACACTGACGACAACCAATGGACGATGATCTTGTCTAACATCGACTGGCTGCTCGATATCAACGTCGTGTGTCCCTGTGTGTGTGCCGAAAACAAGGATCATTACGTCACCAAAGTCGTCAATAATGGGATTGTGCTGGGAGCTTATGTCCTGTCACAAACCCGCAGCCTGTTCATGGGCGCCGTCCCAAGAAAGGCAGACCAAATGCTTTCAAGTCAACCGAACCTCCAAGACAGCACAAGTTTGCACCTGGTGGCCGAATTCAATGAAACATCGGAGGCATTACAAGGAATTCCATCGACCACTACGCTATACATCAAAGTGTTTCTCGGAGAACAGCGGACATCCGATGTTGAAATCATGATGGGAGTCAAACTGTGTTGGGCTCAAAAACATCAATATCACGTTTGCGCAATTTACGTACAAAGAAGCACAACGTTTTCGATGGTCTCGAGAGGGTCAATTTCACCTTGGAGAAGAATATTCCCAGCAATAAAATGTTCTTACCCACGAATATTCTTCTCATGAACTTGAAGTTCACACATGAAACACTTTCAGAAAACCAATTGAAAACTATTTTGTACAAGCTATAATTATATATGATGGGTGACGTTTCGGGTAAACATTGCATCTCAAAATGCACCGCACTAGCGCTCTCTGATCTCAGGGAGATGCAAGGATTCGATCAGCCTGGTACGGAAAATATCTTTTACGCATTTTGCTTAAAAAATCATGTTTACAAACGATGAGAAATGATGCCCGAATTAAACTGGATAATCAGTACTACCCTTACCCATCCGTACGTTCACGGATGATGAGGGGGTTTTGTCACTAAAACATTAAACAGTGGGCTTCCTTCCACTCGGTACTTTAGTAGCTGAATAAAAGACGTCGTACACAGATTCATTATCTCGAGACTGGATAAGAAATGTGTTAGTCACCCGTCCCAGGGAGAAAAAATTAAAGAGTTAGTTCTCCATTTTTAAAAACTGTATCAACCCCCACATACGTGGATAAATGCTGTACAAGGTTCTTCTTATTGATGTCTTTCTTCTTGTTGCCCCTGCAGAAGATGTTAAAATTCTGGCTAGGTTAAAAATTCCTTGGGCTTGAAATCGTCGTTTTAAACATTGCCTTATTTATGTACAACCAGGAACACCCACCTTCACAAGCCTCGAGGTGATCATGTTTTTTCAAGATTTATGATCTCCCATTTCACTAAATACATTGTATTTATCCAAATATATGTGCCAAATAAGCGTAAAGTATACGCACAAGAAATTGATAGAAAACCAATTGAATATTATTTCAAAACTTAAATTACCATACAAAATGGGATTGTATTCCACCATGGGCGAAGTGGTTGAAACACCAGAAACCGTGGACGGATTTCGTCTGCGACAAATAAGCGAGATCAAAGGCCAACTGGAACAAGAACGAGATGCCGGAAGCGCATTGCACAAAAAGTACCACAGTGCCATGGGACTCAGGGCGACCAACGCTGGTTTATTGTTGACCATCGTGGCCGTGCCCGTCATCATCAGGTTGCAAATACTAGCCGGGGTGTCAGTGCTGGCAGGACTAGCTCTCAAATTCATTTCACGTCGGCTGAAACGCAAAGCGCTAAAGCATGAAGAGATCAGGGTTCTAGCCGAAGCCAAGTTGAACACTATCAATGATCACCTATCAACAGCACTTGCTGACAACAAGATCACGGAGGAAGAGTTCCATCTGATCTTGGCAGAACTCGCCAAGTACCACAGCATGAAACAAGAGGGCAGGCGGTAAAATAGGGCAGATGTCGCTTGACAACGACATTAGAATCCATGTCGAACCGTCGCCTAAATAGAATAAAGAAGTTGTATATCCATAAAAATTGTCCTCATTCTTCAACTGCCCCCCTAGGAGAATTGCCCTCCATCAAAACTAAAAGTGACCCCCCTCGCCCATCTTGATAGGATTTATTAAATTCAATTATTAAAACAATGTGTTGAGTTGTGATTAACATAACAACTTAAGTAAGAAAACATTAATTACATTATATCAACAAACAGTGCCTTTCTTCTTTATCTTGGAGAAAGTTAATCTTGGAGAAGGTTATACAGTAATGTGGCCTTTGCTAGATGGGTTGATGGACACAAGAAATCATTAATTGCTTTGAAAACTATCACTTCATCTTGAAAATCACAAGAAATCATTATAAAAACATTCAAATGACCATACTGACCAACATACCCCTAATGCACAGACTAGTTAATCCCATCGCCCCTAATAATGCTAGTATATAAGCATTGTGCAAAAGGTGTCCTGTCAGTCATTTCACAATCATGGAGTGGATTCCAAGTCAGAGAGGGAAGGTTAAGTTATCTTTAGAGGGATTCTTGTATGTTACCAGAAAGAGGTACAAAGTGGAGTTAACTCTTTTGAATGTGTTAAGAGAATACGCAGTCAGTTTAAGGCTAGGGTTAAAGACGGGGAAGTAGTTTGTCATCTGCATGATCACACACATGCACCTGACTTGAGAGAAGCAGAAGTGGCTAAAGTGAGAAATGCTATTAAACGTAAGACGGTTGACACTTTTGAAACACCCCAACAGATTCTCACCAGAGCGTAACAACGATAGATGAAGCTTCCTCCTCCCAACTTCCACCTTTGAGGACACTTCGCTGTTGTATCAGGAGGTACAAACAGTCTGCAAAAGTTCCATACGCCATATCTAGAACCAGTGCCGATCTGATAGTCCCAGAGGAACTTACACAAACTTTGCAGGGAGAACCTTTCCTTCTGTATGACAATGGTGCTGAGCAAGATCGTCTGTTATTGTTTTCCACTGCCAGAAATCTAAACCTCCTCGAAACGTCCTCTACATGGTTAAGTGATGGTACATTCCAGAGCTTTTTTATCAACTTTACACCATACATGCTTTGTCCAATGATCGTGTTCTTCCCTGTGTGTATGGCCTTCTTCCTAACAAGCGACAGTCAACATATGAGCAGTTTTTCACACAGCTATCATCCCGAAATCCAGATTTGAAACCAGAGTATTTGATTGTGGACTTCGAACAAGCAGCCATTAATGCGATTCGTGAAGTATGTCCTGCAGTACAAGTGACTGCTACCACATGTCTCAGAACATTTATCGTAGGATTCAAGCTGCTTGACTTCAGTAGCAGTACTCCCAAGATTTAGAGCTCTCCATCTCAAGTCGCATGTTGGCAGCCCTTGCTTTTGTCCCTCAAGCCGACGTCATCGATGCCTTCGAGACCCTTGAGCAGAACCTTCTAGAGGTCCTCACGCAAGTAATCGACTACGTCAAAGATACAAACATAAGCCGCTAGGAAATCGACCTATGGAATGTTCACGACCGAATTGAGTCAGACCTACCAAAAATAAACAATGCTGTTGAAGTGTTCCATCACCACCTGCAGTCCAGCATACAGGCTAGCCATCCCAACATCTGGACATTTATTGGAATCTTACAAAAAGAACAGGCACTGAACGAAGTCCAGATGAGTCAGATGGTGACTGGTCAGGAACCACCCCCCAAAACGAAAAGCCTACCGTGACAGTGCCAAAAGACTTGTACGTGTCGTTGAGAAATACAACTTTATAGACATTTTGGAATTTTTAAGAGCCATCTCCCACAATCTGTCCTTTTAAGTGAATTGACATTATGAACTTTCTGAAAATGAGCTCTAAGGGAATCTGCAGATTGATATGTGTTGTGTTATATTACATAGTGCTTTAAATTAAACTATTAAAACTATTACGTTTAGTTTTGTGTGTTTTTGATATGATGGGGGGCCGTTGTCCGGTGGGCAATTAACCCAGGGGGCAGCTGTCCCGGGAGAGGGGGGGAGGGGACAATAAATGGACTTGGGGGCAGATAGCCAGGGGGCAGTTGTCTGGGGGCAGATGTCCGGGGGGCAGTTGACACGTTTAGTTGCCTCCTACAAAAAGCATGAGTTGCTGAAGACCAAATCTGACCCCGATATACTGGGGTACTGACGCTTTGAAAAGAGCATTGACACACATGAAAATCGGGGTAAGATTTGGCCTTCGGCAACTCATGCTTTTTATAAGAGGCAACTAACTGTATACAAACAAACTTCCAAGCTATTTTGGAGAAGATGCCAAATATATATAATTTTCAACTGAAAAATATTTATGGACAATGCTGATGACAGACAAACCGAATCATATGGTCATTCAAGTCAGTCAACCCTGTATCATGCAAACATTATATGACAAACTTACTCCACAGTGAGCTTAGCATTGAGAAGAAACACTCCTTCTGCTGCCCATTTCTCTAGACTTCCGACAGCAGGCCTCTTGAACCCTTGGATGTCTTTTTCCAACTCCTTGAATATGTTGTCTAGAGATGGGGGAAAAGGTGGCCCTTTAGGCGTCGAGAATGCCAGCCCGTCCGCCTAAAAAAGAAAAAACCCATGGTTTCAAAATATCGAAAACGGTTAGCACCAGATCCCAAGTTACTACACAGTTACCTTCCTTAGACCATTCTGGTAATGTCTCAATACTTTGGCTTGCGCTTAGTATCTGCAAATACATAACTCCAGACTTGCTTCATTAAGAGGATCTGCATCACGTGCAGTGCAGGATAGAAGGGGAATAATATGGTTCAGTACAAACTATCTCACAACACAATGATGAAGTGTTATTATCCCCAACTCCCCGATAACTCCCTGGGGCTGTGTGAGACGAAGTGACCGCTACCACAACTCTCCAAATTACTCCCTGAGGTTGTGTGTCTGCAAATAACTCGTTGGTTTTCTGCATGAAACCAAGAACGCTACTCAAACAAAATCTGATATCTATCTTGTTTCTGCTTGAGGAGTGGAAGTTATCCCAACTCCCCCAATAACTATTTGAGTTTCTCACCTCCCATTTATTGCAGTACGGCTCTTCTCCAAGGATCACAACCTTCACCTGAAAAGCAACACCCACTGTCAACATGCCATTAAGAACGGTACCAGTGTGTTGATTATTTACAGATGGCCACCACGAAGCTGGAATATTGCTGAGTACAGCGTAAAACAACAAACAACAAATATACGATCAGGAAATCAGAAATATATTATAAATATATGGATCGATATAAAGGATCGATCACATACAAAAGAAAATATGGAGTCACTTTACTTTATGTATAGATGTCAAATATTATGGGATGATTTTGCCGATCTAATACCAGGTTATAATTACTGTTTGCAGCGTATCCGAGATAAAACATCACAACTACGGAGATATAGTGGTGTATTACTGTTGATATTAAAGAGGACATTTCGCCCTATATGCACAGGAAATCTAGAAATGCACTGATATTAGATGCTGAATGAGTACAATAACCGCAATTCTATATTGAAAGTTGGTTTTAACTGTAGGTGAGGTGAGCTGAAATTGGGTGTAACGTCGTGTTTGAGAAAATATTTCGATCATATGACGACGTGCATGCGTGTGTATGTGTATGCGCGGCTGCTTGTACTAGCCCAGATTTAAGCTGGCTTTATAGTGCTAGCCCACTGAGATACCATGCCGCAGTGAAGCATGAATACCCCACTCAGACACATTATACTGACTCCGAGCCGACCAGTCCTTGTTGTACCCATTAATGCCGAGCGCCAAGCAGGGACCAACAAGTACCATATTTTAACGGGTTTTGGTATCACGCGGTCGGGGATCGAACCCGATTTTAACTCTAGAACATTACAGAATTACATTATATTTGACAATGATAAGGATATACTGCTTGACTCTTTAATATCGAAAGACCATCCCAGTATTTAGTTGTCAAACACTACGACAAACAATTTCTGGATTTATGCTCAAAATTGATTTCCATGACACCAACGGAGGATCGGAAGGGGACAAAGTTGGTGAATTCACGTTTGTTGGTGCACAAGGTAACAGTGTAACTGATTACTGTGTAATGTCAACAGACATATTCCATTACGTCCCGTGTTTTCTGGGCCAACGGAAATCGACATTACACGAAGCACCTGCAACACGGACGCCGACCATCACTTGTGATCGCTTCGTGTGGGACTACAACAGCGTGCCCTATACACTGTCCATAGAGCACAGCCTTAAATCATGCTAGGACTTCTTTGAAGAAAACTCTGATGATGTCACTAAGTGTGTATATTATTTGCAACAATTATTTGTTTCTTCTCTCAATGACTTAGACTTTAAAAGTAAGAAAGACTTTAATAAACAAAATTGCAGTCGCCCAGTTCAGCCAAAGTGGAATGTGTGATAAGCATAAACTCTTGAATATTTTTAGAAAATCTGATTGTGTTGATGATTGTAAGAAGTATATTGAATGTAAACATTATTCTCAGGCAATTCGTAAACAAAAGAAGAAAGAATATGATCGTAAAGTGGTAAATGCCGTAACGGGAGCTGCTAAAAACAAAGACTGTAAAGCTTTTTGGAGACTGTTGAAATCTTTATGGTGTGTGGGAAAAATCTGCCGACTGTGACATATCTGCAGATAATTGTTACAGTTACTTCAAAACTCTGTTAAATGCTGACGTTGACTTAGAAAACCCTTTTGACAAAAACATGTACAAGAGTATTTATCAGACCACAATGCATCGGTTTGTGAGAATCGTGCAGAAAGTAACGATGTTCTTTCCGACTCTATAACTGAAGAGAAAATATAAAGATATATTAAGAACTTAAAAAATGGTAAATCTCTTGGACTGGATGGCATCCCAACCGAGGCGACAAAAGCTATTGTTGACATTCTATCTCCGACCCGGACAATTATAGAGGGATTACTTTGCTTGATATGTTAGGCAAAGTATTCACCTCAATTATTAATACAAGATTACAGTTTTGGTTAAAACTGCACTCGGCGGTATCGGAAGCACAAGCTGGCTTCAGAGATGGTATTCGACTGTAGACAACATGTTAATCTTAATTACATTAGCGCATAAGAATCTCAGAAAAAAACAAGGGAAACTTTTTTTTATTTTCATAGAATTCAAAAAGGCATTTGATCAGGTCGATAGAGGCAGGCTTCTCATTCAGGTTCTTAGAAAAGGAATTCATGGTAAATAATATAAACTCTTAGAAAGTATTTATCGTAATGGAAACGCGTATGTGAGATGTACGCCATGTTGGTTTACAGAAATGTTCTCATCTTCTCGAGGTGTTTGACTAGGGTGTACGTTGTCACCAGTTTTGTTTGCGATGTATATTGAAGAATTAGCTTCAACTATTGTTCAAACGGACCCATGAAGTATTTTTGTAGATAGTTGTATTGAAAAATCTTGTCTGCTTTTATTTGCTGATGATGTAAGTTTTATAGGATATGTTTATAAGAAAATTCAGCCAATTTTAATGTTCGGTTCAGAAATTTCGGGAACAAAACAAAGGGAAGTTTTAGAAATTATCCACACTAAATTTTGTAAATTCTTTCTAAAGGTTAGTTACCGAACAAGCAACTTGTCAACTTTGGGCGAATGTGAGTTAGTAAGTTTAGTTTTACGCCGCTCCCAGCAATATTTGGGCGAATGTGGACGCCATTCCTTGTTTATTCATCAACAGCTAAGAGCTATATGCTTTTGGTTAAAGATAAGCGCTATGAATTGTAATACATATGTAAAACATTGTTATTTACTTATGAAGCAACACGATGACATAGACTACATATATAAACTGGGCATCAACAGTTAGACTTTTCTTATTTCCTCACGGCTTTGGTCTTGTATGGATCTGTCAAGAAGATGAAAATAGTAAATTATTCATGTTAGAATGTAAACAACGTTTCTTAGACCTGTACAGGCAACATTGGAATCAAGATATTTGTAATTCTACTCTTTTATCAACTTATTGTATATATAAATCTCAGCTTTATACTGAAAGATATTTACCTTCTTTAAAATCTGTACAATTAAGAAGGGCTTTGACTAAGTTCAGATGTTGTTCAAATAATTATAAAGTTACTAAATACAAACATGTTCACAATTGTAACCCTGCTGATTTATTATGCCCGTACTGCAGAACAGGTCAAGAAGACTAATTTAATATTCTTTTTATATGTCCATAGTACGCTTACATTCGGGTATATTATCTTCCTATGTGTTATTATAGCCATCCATACTTCATTACCTGGTTATCAACAACAGACAGTATTCAGTTGCTCCGCTTAGCCACCTACCTGTACAAACTATTCAAATCAAGATTACAGAGTATCATATGTTGTGTTTGGGATTAGGCTTTCATGATTGGGTTCGGGCTCTGGTGTTTTGTTGAGTTGGGACATATCCGGGATTCGGGCCCGCACCTAAATGGATAGAGTTCTCTTTTTGTGTGTGTGGCGTGTGTGTGGATATGTGTCCTATGTTTGACCTGCCCAGGATAGCTGTTCATGTGGGCCCGCACTCTCGAACTCGGACACCTGGTCGCTGGCGCACAGGGCCGCCCGCCAGCCTGTCCAGCCACCGCGTAGGCGGCGAACTTTGTGTGCTGGCTATTTGGTGCCCGACTCTGAGGGTGTGGGCTCGGGTCCTGGGTGTGACTCGGCCCGGCAGGGTGCGGGAGTCTGTGCTTTGCCTTGAGGGCGTTGTCCCTAATAGAACATGTGTTGCATTTGACCACTTTCTTAATGGCATTGTATATTCAAAGATTACAGCTCTTGTAAAATGGTATGTCACAGTTTTACATCTTAAACTGTACTCTAGGCCTCATGGCCTTGAAATACGATAAACTTCTGTTATTCTGTTAAATATTATGGACTTTACAGTACATAGTAAAAAACAATTTAACCACAAATTTTTCAAAACATTTTCAGATTATCAATGAAAGTTTTAGTTACAAAAATCTGACGCATTTACAGATTCAGATCTGTGACCTCACTTCACACTTTCACAAAAATGTTTACCTTGTCAATTGGGGTCAGGTTAAAAGCATTAAAAATCTTTTCTTTTGGAGGAAAGATCTGCTTTGCTCCTGAATAATCTTGCCCCAGACTTTCCTGGAGGTCTTTAAAATACTTCTCTCTGAACACTTCCTGTAACGCTTGTGTCCAGCTGCGTTCCGTTAGAAGGGACTTCAGATCAAACGATGCTGCTTTCACAAGGAAACAAGGAAAACATTAGAATGTGGCAATTTAACATATTTTGCACATGTTTAACATCCTAAGAAAGATTTCAGTTTTCAATACTTCCATGATATTACTGCGTACATTTGAGAGGAAATAAATCTGCTTTAAATATTTCAACTATGCCTGATGGCAGGTATTGTGTGGTCAGGGTCACATTACATCAACAGGGGACCTATTCCGTCCAGAATTAATCAAGGGCACTTTTAAAAACACACGCTTTTTAAATCTAAAATGTCAACCTTTTGGTCCAGGTTTGTTTGTTTGTTTAACAACACACTCAGAAATATTCCTGCTAAAAATGTAAAGAATTATGTCTGGACTATACAATCCAGTGATTAACATCATGAGCATTCATCAACACACTTGGGCTACCAGGACATACATAAACATACACTAGGGAACAAAACAGTGGTTGGTCTACTTCGATGCCCATCGAAGTAAAGTAGACATTTCATATTGATATTTTCTTTAAGAATCACATTTAGGCGATTGCGAATGGGAAGTGACTGGCCCTGAGCAGCAAAAAGAAAGCCCTCAGTTTCACATTTAAGACCAGCCGACTTCATCCAGGCGAAGGAGTCGGTGGGATTGCTATTCTGTTCAACACACTGCATGTACACACGATGCAATGGCTTCTCAGAAAGCTTCTCCACAAAAGACCGACTCTGGGCAGACTTGGTGAAGGACTTCACCTGGTTTACTCCCATCACTGTACCGTCCAGCAGTACATCGCCATTAACAAAATCAACCTCAAATTTCAGATTCTGTCCAACAACCTTGGCACGCTTAAAATAGCTGTGGAATTCCTTGCTTTCATCATGAGTCTTCACATGCATCACTAGAGGATCATCCGATAAATAAATATGTGCAAAAGTACACAATAAAATTCTATCATGAAGAGCCTCCACATTAATCAAACCCCAACCTCCAGAATTGATTGGCATGTATAAACGGTTAAGAGAGGAACGAGGGTGGTGGGCTCTGTTATCAGACGATGTCATCCATGTAAAGGAGATGAGTAAGAGGTGTTGGGGGTCCGGGATGGTAACCCTCATCTCTGTTGAGCAGAAAGCTCAAAGGATTTAGAGACAAACAAAAAAGCAAAGGACTAAAGGAGTCCCCCTGGAAAATTCCCCTTCTGATTGGAATAGATTCCGAAGTCTGCACCTGCCCTTGCGAGTACATCTCAAGTTGAGTCGATCAGCAACTCATTAAAGACTTGAGTAAATCAAGTAGTCGCTCAGGGAGGTCTTTACAATGAAGAGACTTCAGAATCCATTCGTGAGGAACAGAGTCGTTTCCTTTTTTGTAGTCAATCAAGCACATGGAGAGTTTTTTTTGTACAAGAAGTTGATCCTTGCACCCCCAACATCCCTTTCTCGCCCCCTTCTGCTCTCTGTAAATTATATCATTGGAAGAGCAGTAAGATGACACGAGGTTTGTCAAACACCCTGTGAATATTTTGTATTGTGTATTCAAACATGTGATAGGGCGGAAGTTTTTGGGATCAGTCAAGTCTCCTTTCTTGGGAAGGAGTATTATGCGGCCTTTGCAGAACCATGGAGGAACATCACCTGTGTCCACAAGAGAATTGAAACAGTGTAGTAATGGTGTTTGGACACAGGGGAACAGTTTCCAATACCGGTTTCGAATGCCATCAGGCCCTGGAGCTGTATTAGATTTTGACTTTTTGATGACACTTTTCAGGCAATCTGGTGAGATGTAACAGACAAACGACCTATTTACTTTCTCATGCATTGCATGGTCATAATCACGGACCCATGGTGCCTAAGGTTACAGTCGCCGGGTATAGACCACAACTGTTTCCAGAACCTTTCATTGGCATCCATGGAAGGCCGTTTATCATGCTCACCATCACCGTATTATTATTATTATTATTATCAATATTAAAGATGTAACGTTTACCGATGATTAGCTTGATTGTCATAAGGGCATGCTTGATTGGATGGCAACAATAGATTCCTGTCCTGTATTGTGATGGGCTTCGAACCACAGATCTTCTGATCGATGGTCAGATATTTTGACCAAAAACCATTACCCCATCAACGGAAGATGCTTCGGCCCTTTTCAAAATTCAATTCACTCACATTTGATATGAAGTGCTCAGCCACACTTTGGGCAGTAGTGGAGAGACTATACAATTAATTATTCTGATCTATATAAACGCAAGTATCCTGCAAGAACAGATTACTGAGTGCCTATAGGGCTCTCTAACCATGCACCTGTGTAAAATCCCATCAAAGGTGAGTTGAAAAATGGAATGATAAAAATAGAGCTTATTATGGACAATGCGGTTGTTCGTGCTCGACCTATCCCCTTGTGTCTTTAATTGTGTACAGTACGTAAGGGTATTCCGGATCACTGCGACCTACTTAACACCTGGAAACTGTAAACCTCAATGGTGGAAATCCTTTGTCGCACTTTCGCGCACTCGTTACCATTCTTGCCCACGAAAAACTTATATGAATGACTTCTTTGTACTTAAACCTACACGTGCGCCCTATTTTCGTTATCAAAATATCTAAAAATAAATAATGACAAGCCTTCAAACAACTCAGTCGATCACTCACATACCAGCAGCGCCATTTTGAATCGCGTGACCTGTGACGCGAAGGGGTTTCCCTTCCTAAAAAAGTAACACACGTGTTCCATACCTCGTTGTTTGTTTACAAAAAAAAATTCATACATTTTTAGGCAATTAAAAAGATTGTATGGAGACTTACGTTCCCAATCTAGACTGACTGACCACCCCTGCTCTTTCAACAGCTGTTTTCAAAGGATTTGCTGGTGAGTTTTCAATGCTTCATATAATATTAGATTATTGCTGTCACCATGACAGTTCCATGGGTGTTTCTGTAGTACTCCTGAATATTTGCCTACAAAACACAGTTTATTAATAAGACTTACTAGAATTTAGGAATTAAATAATCAATGAGTTCACAAATTAATCATCTATAAATTTCATTTATAGCAATACGCAACTGACAGCTACGGAA